GGAGGAAGAGCGGTATTTAACCGCGAAGTTCTACTGTCTTAGTGAGAGAGATACCAGATATTCTGGCTAGCACACGTACGCATTTTTAAGCTACTTTCTCGTAAGCTATTATTACGCTCGGCCGTACTTTAGGCAATTGATAGCTTCGCAGTCAATTAGCGTTAAGGGGCCAACTTCGTTAGAATCTTGATAGCTTCGGCTATATCTTTTTAGTTAAGATTAGTTATTTTAATTCTTAGTTTTTTAAGTTGAAGTCCGAGTGTCGACTTTATTGTACAACTCCAAGACGGAGTTCTATTAAACTGTAGTTGGAATAATAAAGTGTTATTTCACCCTTCTTGTTGTTTTCTACACCACGAACTCAAACGTGTATTCGCTTACTAGCTCTTAATATTCTTCACTTTCAACTTTAACTTAGAAATGCATAGTGAAGAAACCTACAACTTGTATTACTAAAGTCTTAAAAAATACAATTTTTTCAAATCAAAGTGTGAATTTCCTTTATTTATAAATTTTAAATTTATGTGCTTCTATTTCATATAATTTTTGGCTTTTCAGAATTTCTTTTATTGCCAATCCAATAAATTCACCAAACATGAGCCAAAACGTTCTTTTTTCTATCATATTTGCACCCCAGGCTGACTTAGTAGAGCTAATTTTATTTCTATCAGACGCGCTGCCACTAGTCACTTCTCTGGAAATCTAACTAAGAAATACTGATCACACACTAAGGATTTGTAAACATAATATACAGAGATAGTTCCTATTTAATCGTATTCTTGCAACTGTTCTCATCACTCAGAATTGCTTGAAAGAGAAAGCAAGAGAAAAAGAAAAGCAGTTTTTGTAATAAAGCCTTTGCGTCTGCAAAGCGACAATGTATCCCCAATCCCCATGTCAAATGTTTCCCAGATGCAAAGACAATATTTAAAAAAAACATTCCCAGGAAGGGTGGACACTTAATTGAGGGGCCGTTTTAATTAACTTCATTAAAACACGGAGTTGTTGTTTCGCATCCCAAATACGGAACCGAAGAAAAGATAGGCTGCCCGACGAAAAGACACTTCTGCTAATGTAGTTTACAAAAATTCGTTTCCAGGAAGACTGGAAATTAAGAATCGTGGATGGAATTCTATCATTCAATTAAAACAACAAAGACAAGAAAGGAAATGGTTCTCCCCTCCCCCCACTAATAAAAAAACAAACGAGAAAACAACTTTCAGGGGAGTATTAGTATTCGTTAGTTTGAACAAATTTAAGCAAACACATAATCAAGAAAGGTTGCTATGGACAGGAACAAAATACAAAAATATGCGTGACACTCGCCGCAGCATGAGAGGCACAAAGCTGTCCCTCAAGCTGTAGATTATCACTCCTGAAAAAGGGCAGGTTTCCAAAAGATTCAAGCCTTTTCTGCTCTAGTCAGCGTCACGCATAATTCCGCAAATCAATATATTTTCAAGAAGATTTCAGTTCGTTTCACATTAAAATTCCCTGTTACAAACATTCCTTATACCGCAGTTTCGTATATTACGTTACCAAAATCGCACGTAAATGACATGATTCCAGAATAATACACTTAGCAACAAAACAATCAAATTTGTTATGGAAAATTTAACATTTTAATGAAATTAAGAATGAAGACGACTAGGAAGAATAAAATGACTTGAGAAAAGAAAGAGATACTTTACAGCAACTGATATCACATATGTGAGTACGTTAATGTTTTAAACTCAAATTTCGAATCCCATTAAAACCATGCAATCAATTGCCATTAAAAATTAATATTACAAAAAAAAAAAAACATAAAAATGAAATGACAGCTGAATCACGGAATTTCTTTTAAATAATTTTTACGTGATTTTTATTTATATATTATCATTTAAATGCATTATATGATTGTATTTTGCATTTTTGCATTTAGTCATTTCTTTCTACTTTGGTGGCTGAAAGCATGAAAATGGGTTAAAAATTTACTATTAAATGCCCAAAGTCATATAATTTTTTTCATTCCATGTAGATATTCCATTTCTTGTTAGGTACCCGTCCTTTTAAGTATAATACAGGCTTAATTTGGGCACTACATCTCGCATTATAAAGAGTAAGCACAGCAAATGGGGGAAAATACACATAAATTAATGCACAATACAGTAAAACTAAAGCTATTTCGAAAATTCAGTTATTCAGATCGCTTTTCATTTTTTAGATGAAGTAAAATCAAATATTTTTCAAACGTGTTTTAATGTTTTTTTAACTAATGTAAAAAGATAATAACATATTTTTAAGGATAGTAATTAATAATAGTATAATGTTTTTAAGAATAATAATTAGACGAATGTCTATGTATGACGTGGAGATTTACACTAACACGTTCAACAAATGTGTAGATCATGAGTATTAAGGGAAGGCTTGTTATTACTAATTTAATCTGTTAAAAGTTATAATAAAAAAAGGAGGACAAACTGGAAAAAAAAAGGACAAACATGGTGATCTTATACTAACTCCCGCTTAATGTACAGAATTTTTGCCTTATAATAATCAGCTTAATTACTGTTTGTTATTTTCTGTTAACATTTGATGTACATTGCACAGTTCTTTGTCCGTGAACTGTATTTCATAGGAATAAAGCATTATTGCTCTTTCAGTGTAAAAACAATATTTTGAACTGCCGCTTGCATTGTAAAATACTACTCAATTATTCGGATTTTTCGATTATTCTAATGGGTTGTAGTCCCAGTTAGTTCGACACCTGGAGTTTTACTGAATTTACAAGTATGCAAAGGAAAACTGCAAAGATAAATAAGGAAACTAAACAAATAACTTTACAAAGAAATGATAAAATTCCTAATAAATAAAATCCGAGGAACACTGGCCAACATACCAGTGTTCGAAAGCTTTAGCCTTTGAACGAAAAAGGGCCCACCAGCGGCCCAGCGGTAAAGTCGCTGAACCCTGGTAGTTAGGTCCGAGGTTCGAATCCCGCGAAGGGGCTGGCTGAATGGTCGTTCTCTTGGTTTTTCCCATGTGTAGTGTATACGAGCCAGTTTCCCTTAGAAAGTCCTCCACGAAGACATTCCTCCCCTTAGACAGATAGCCCTCGAGGCTTTGCCATAATCACACACACATCTTTGAATAAGAAGAAAGGAAATACAGAAATTTGGCTCTTTAAATTAACGAAATCGTTTTTACTTAAATATCAAAGCTTAATTTTACTCATTATTAAATGCTCAAGCAAATTTATTAAAATTTAAGAAGACTGTATGTCATGAGAAAGTCACCTTCTAAGAAAACTGGTGCATTTTTACAATGAGAAAAACCATGGAAACAACAAGCAACTTGTGTCACAGTAACGTCGCACAAAACTAACGAAGTTCAGTCGTAGAATCCAATCGAGCATGGCTGGGATTTCAGAAATATTCAAAATTTATCACCCTTCCACATAATGCAAATTACACAAATTCAGAACATAAAAATCAGAAGTCATTCAATTGCATCATAAATGTAGTTCACCTAATTCACCAAAGATCAGTAAAATGTGAAATACTTGCACGGCAAATGAAGAATTTAAATATCTGAAAACACAGTTGGCTATAAAATAAAATGCTGGCATTAGCCAGGATATTCTTTAAATAAAATAAAATAATAATCTTTAAATAAAACAGAATAATAATTAAACAAATAAATAATTTCTTTAACGAAAACAATAAAATAATAAATACTTTAAATAAAATAACAAATACATAAATTAACAAATAGATCATAATCACATCCATTTGCCGATTCTTCGAATACACAAACTTAGTCGGTAACACTTCAGGTTTAGTTATCTCACAAGAGACATACCGTGAATAGGCCACACATTTCAATCGAACACATTTTTTTCATCCCTTTTAAAGAATAGTCATCATTTTACATTTTTCGGAACTGAAAGCCAATACTTTTAAATTCAGACATTTTGTCCATCTTTAATAATTGATGAGAATAATTAAAGCCGACGGATTTATGAATGGGGGGACGAGCTTGTTTTCCAGCAACTTCACAAAGTAACCAGTGAGCCACTTTATGATATTTCGAAGGCATCTAAATTGCCCAGATTTTTGTTTAAATCAGTACAAGTAACATCATTAATTGGATAATACGGTTCAGTTACTGGAATTCAGTACTATAAAAGAAATAAGGTATCAGGAAGGTTCAGAAATCTCTATTTTGAGAAAGTTTAAAGATGAAAAGGCGCGTTTTTAACGACTAATCTAAAGTGATATTATTACCCTAGAATATTTGTAAAATCTAATAAAAATAATAACACTCACTTCTACACCAAAAGTAAGATAAAGAGGCAATCGAGTTTTACCTTATTCTTGATAAATAAGTGTACACTTCCGAGTTAAAATTAACACGTCTAATTACAATCATTGGAAGCAACCAGAATCAGCGTAATGTTCATAATGTTAATATATTCCATAAATTTAATATATTCCAGCCATAAATGTAGTATAGTCCTGTAAATTTATAAATATTGCGCTGATTTCTGTTTGCTTTATCTCCTCCAAAAGTGTACACTTATTTACTAAATACGAAGAAAATATGTACACGAACTGTTGATCTTTAATTCAATATATGGCCTTCAAAGTAAATAAAAAAAAAGGAGACAAATAATTTTCACACCGCATTTTTTTTTAAATCTTAGTTTTAAAAAGGTTTCCATACATTAATTTTTTAAATAAATACAAAATTCAAAGCTACGTTAGTATTAATTTTATAAAAATATCTTAATGCAGTTTGATGCAATAAAACACAAATCATTTTTACTCAAAGACAAAAACTGTCATTAATTTTAATAGCTTAAATGCAAAATTACTGAAATAAAATATAAATACATAAATTCAAAGAACGCAGCAATTGTACAACCATCAATAAAGCAAAATTGAAGAGCAAACAGGAAAGAAAGCAAGACATTATAACAGATGTTATCCAGTATAATGTTATCCTGTTTGTTCCTCGACAAATAGACTTCACTGATTTTTTGTAATTTTTCCGCTGTGTAATGTGAACATGAGAAGATTTCCTATAAACACTTTCACCTCCTCTTCGGCATCGGGTAGAAGCCCTTTCGTGCTTTGCCAAAATCTATCAGACAATGAACTGAAAATAATCGAAACCAGAACTTTTTTTACTAAAAACAGCAATATTTTAGCCTTCCGACTTCCTGCCTGGGCTTTATTTCAAAAAGCATCAGAACTATACATTATAGCAATTCAAAAGCAGATTAGAAGACTAGTAATCAGTATCACCTTTCACAGAAACGATTATTCTATCCATATCACCTAAAAAATTTAGCTAAAACATTAAAAACGGTAGATAATTTTTGCACTATTTTTCATAAAAAATTTTTGACTGGTTTTAGGAAATTTTTCCAAAGGAACAATTTCAAATGCTGCAGTTGTGTGATATATTTCATTTTATCGTGAAATATTACAATGACGAGTCCATAATCGTAATAATAACCCGGTTAATATTTAAAAGAATGATTTTTCGTTAACACTTTCGACTTCTATATGTGCTACTGCAAATTATGCTTCTCTGCTACAAAATGACATTTACAAGCAAATCGATGCAGTAACCATTCACTAAAAGATACACACAACTTAGAAAATGATATCTTACGGAAGCATATATTGATTTTATCCACAATAGCAAGGCAGCTTTTGCTAAGAAGTTACAGAACAGTTACTATTGTCTATGTAACAAAGAGCAACAGCGATTGCCAATGGCGCTTAAAGGATAATGAAGAAAAAAAGGGAAATGAAGTTTTCAGTCACAGGGAAAGTCGATACAGTAATGATTTTTGAACTTAAAGCCAGTCAAGTAAAGTTGTTTACCGAGAATACATCAATGTTCGAACAAAAATATTATTTTAAAAGCCTAACAACCATTAATCGAATATACTACAAAATTTATAATGATATATTAAATACAGTTTACATTGTATTAATGTAAAGAAATTTCAGAGATATTTTAATAGAAGACAAATTTTCAAAGGTGCAAAGTGTTCCAAAACATGATACACAACTTAGGAAATGAACACAAAATAACTTAGTGGATGTAAGAAAATTGCGCAGATGTCATGATACGCTGTGTTTAAAAAGATTTCGTGATTACATATATCTCTTAATCAGTTTATGCTCCGTGTTTTAATTGGAAAATGAATCAAATAAAATATGAATACTTTTATAATACAAATTTTTTTCGCCTGACATCATTTAATAAAATTATACAGACTTTTTAATTTTATAAAATTTCAAATTAGTTAAGCTTTCCTCGCCCTGTAATATCTTCAAACGGAGAAGAAAAATTCTGTAATGCAGAATCGGCTTTTAAGAAGGTGGAACACTACGACTTAGAACACTTTCACAGAATAAAAAGAAAAGCAAAATCTTGGCTAGAAGGTGGAACACTACGACTTAGAACACTTTCACAGAATAAAAAGAAAAGCAAAATCTTGGCTAGAAGAGGAACAAAACATTTGTTATACTAACACTTCGAAATTTAGGATTTCTGTAAATACGAATTTGAAATCTAAATTCTAATATTCATAATTTCCTGATGAAATAAAATATGAGCCGGATATATGCTTGCATGGCTGCCATGTAGCAGTATTTGTATATGGTTCCAAAAGACTTGACAATGTCTTACGTTGTTCTGACCGTTTAAAAATGAATTTTGATTATTATAATTGATGCGTTTGCGAAAAACACATTTCTCATTGGCATTCTTTCTTGCAGTAGAGAATCATTGTTCAAGACTGAAAAACTGAAGACTGACTGAAGTCCAAGACTGAAAAATGGGCAATGCCCCCCACGATTCGGACTTACACAACGAAAGCTCGCGGAAAAGGAAAAAAATACTTCACAACGGAACCCGTAAAAAAATTTTTTTTTTAAGTTTCACCATTGCTAAAATTAGTCACATGACAAAGTTATTACAGTTTTAAATTCCACTTTATTTGATTTATTTCTTAAACTGGATATTAAGAATCAAATTCATTGGCGATATATTTAGTCGTTTCAAAACTCCCTACTGAGAGAAACACATCAACATGTTTAAGTCGAATATCCATGCTTTCAACCAATTCCAGTGAAACTGCTTGACAACTAATATTGTAACAACAGTAATAGCAATTACGTGTTAAAAATTTTAAACAACTCTGATATCTAGTTTGTTTTTCTATCATTTCGTGTGCTACTGAATATTGCCTTTTGAATTGTAAAAGTTTGTTTAAACTAAAGGAAGGTCGTGATACCTCATTTTGTTTTGTTTTTGTACATTATTTGTTATAGCTCTTCAAAGCCCTTCAGCATTAGACTTCTACACAGAATTCTTTGAGTTTACATGAACATTCGCATCTGCAGTACGCATATATAACATTCAGCTATCAAATTGTCAAGACAACAAACACATTCGAGTTTATTTCAAAGGAAATAAATGTTTTCGCAGTCACTTTTTCTTATTTAGCATCTTTAACAACTGCGGATATTTTTCTGTTTCTCTAAAGCAAAGGCATTTATTTCCCCACTTTGAAGATTCTTTTGTGGACTTAGACACACTACTCATGGATAAGCAAAACTGAGGCGATACCTTCTTCATTTGTGAACAAACCGTAATAATAATGACAGCTTAAAGAATTGTCATCTCGAAATTGAACTAAAACAATTCTTGCAGTTGACGCTGAACTGTGATTTTTTTAATATCTACCTCCAGTCTTATCAACTCCTGACGAAATAATATTTTAAAATGAATTACGAGTTTTTAATATTAAGTGAGGAACACAGATAAGGTCAGATCAACAAAATATGACGTGGAAAAGCAATAACGTAGTTTTAATAATTATAAATATTTATAATAATTATAAATTTATTTATAATTATTATAAATTTATTTAAAAACGTATTTATAAAAATTAAAAGCAATAAAGTATTTCAAAATGGCGTATGTATTTAATACGCCAATAAACTATTTCTTAGAAGCGTCATTATTTTTCCACATGTTTGCTTCTTACTTTGAATATCACTTTAACAGCTTCATCAATTTGCAGTTTGGCAAGAGGTTGTTGTACAGTAATGTACGTATGTAAAATCAATGAAAATACACCCTTCCTAACCTTTAAATAAAAGCAACTATGTGCTGATGATGAAGGATTCACTACAATCACGAATATTTTTTTTTTTTTTTTTTTTTTTTTTTTTTAAAGTTCGCCAGCTTTTGGCAAGACATGCGGCTGAACACAGAACAATTTGTAGAACTCTGTATGGAAACTATTTAGTAGAAGATAAATGGGAATATATTGTGACCCTTGATGAAACATGGGTTTAAATGAGTGCAGCAAAGATCTATTTATTATAGAAAATGAACAGGAAAAAAATGTACAAACCTGGTCCCATCAATGCATAAAAAGTTTCATTAAGGGGTTGATGATATTCGCAAGACTCTCTTATAATATGAAATTAAAAATAAAATGAGTGGGGAAAATGTTAAAATCAACTCAATGTACTAACACGAGAAAGCTTTATGTCCGATTTTTAAAGAAGACATTCCATTTCTTTATTCCAGTGTCTTTCAAAAAACCTGGTAAGAAACCTGATAAGAAAAAGCAGCAAGTCATACTTCAAAATGTACCCCTGCATTCCCTGAAAAAAATGAAGACTCGTACAAGTATTGCATACAAGTTTTTGAAGTCCTTTCATATTTCACCTATGGAGTACTGTGCGTATGGTCTCTTGAACAGAGCTCTTTCTAAGCGCAAACCCAATACGATTGATGGACACTGGAAAGTAATGGAAGACGAATTTAAATCAACAGCCCTATCGTGAAAACCACGATGCAGACTTAACAGTCCGGAAGGGGAATCAGACTTAATACAAAAAACTTTGCATTTTAAACATTAATAGTCGCGAAATCGTTCTAAAAATGTGTAAACACCCTCTCTAACTAGATATATTTAAATTAACGCTGTAGAAAACTGATTAATTTCAAACAGTTGTTGATTTATTTCATTCTTAACATAAATACAATAACACTGAAAGTTATGCATAACGTATCAATCAGAAAATATTTGAGAACTTTGCTTTATATTATTTTACCGCATATTAAATATTCTGACTAAAGCGCTGCCGGCGGCTTGTTGACAGGTCCGCTTTCCCATTCCAGCGGTTCGAAATTCTTAGGCAACTCAATTAAAAATCTTCAATCTTTGCTAAATCAAATATGCAAACAATCTCTAATTACTGTCAAAAGATTTCACTGCTTGTTGTACACAAAAAGTTGCTTTCTGGTATTATTACTTTTTATATCGCGTGTATTTTAATTTGTTAATATTAATTGGACAAAGAATGTTTTTATAAATAGCGAAGAATTTTAAAGCGCCAGAGGTACTTGGAAGTATTTTAATTGTCGACTTGTTAATGACGCTATATAATTCAAAAGGAGAGTTGATTCCTCCCCCCAGAACAATCGTCTTCGATTTGCGTCAATGAGCTAAACGAAATGCGAATACCCTAAGGTTTTCAAACAAACAATTTCAGTGGCATTTGATTCGGAGCACGAAAAACTACTTAACCGCCTGAATATCAATAGTGAGAAAAATTAAATAAATCGACATTTTTCCCCTTGCGCTTCTAGATTTGAATTAATCGTTCTTCGAGATAACTTCGCTGCGAGTTTTCACAGAAAAAAGACATCATGATAAAAAAAAAATTAATTAATCTCGCTATTATTAAGAAATTTAATCTGCTATGAAGTTTCCAGCTTCAAATTTAGAAGGTTAGAAGATTGAATCTTGTAAAAAAGGTCCTCGTACAAATCACAAGCTTCTTTTTTTATTTTTTTTTTCTCTCAATTCTTCTAAAAGGGAAAAACAAGATGTTTTATTTCCTGCATGTTATTTATGCCACACATTCTGTATTAAATAACACCAATGTAACTTGAATTATGTCACTATCACTTTATAATTACAAAAACAGAATTTACCAATTCCAGCTGAATTAAATGATGCAAAAATTTTGCCATAAAAATATTAACCATTTCCCCATCCTGTACATAAATTAAATCACGCAATACCAGCAATTCTATTGGAATTGACTAAAGCA